TGCAAAGGGAGTGGGCCGGGTCAAACCTACCAACGACATGCGCAAAGTCTCCCTTCCAGACTGCTCCAGCAACATTTCCAGCCAGTCACAGGCGGGAAGCTCCTGTCTGTCGCTCTCCTTTCCTTTCCTCCCCTCCTGGGTCCCTAACCGCCTTCATCGCCTGCTGCATCACAGAACCGCTTATTTGGGATGTCTCCCAAGGAATCAAATTAAGCTAATTATACTTAATGGCAATGACTGGTGCTTAATTTGGATGGTAATTCTGCTTAATTGAGATGCCTTCAGGTGTCTAAGTGGTTCTCCAAGAGTGTTGGTGAGCGCATCAACCTGCGATACTTGGCACCTCTCTGAACGTCTCTACAAAGTAAATTTAGGGCAAAGACTTTTCTGAAGCAATATAACATGAAATTCCTGAAATTTAACTTGTTCATTATGGGGTGTTTCAGAATCAACAGCATTTATACGCAGTCTTTGCAAAGTCTAGGAAAAGTACCGCAAAGACAGCAGAGAAAGCCAAATCGTCCAGAAGAATGGGAAAGCAGACAAGCCCAAACCACCTGAGTGCATTAGGTGCATCTCACAGTTCGGATAAGTTTAAAAGCCAAAAGCCCATGAACACATGTCTAGGGTACTCTCTAATGTTAGCTCCGGGGCCTGGTAAAGCTGTAGAAGGGCTCTGAGACAGGGCCTAAAGGAAAGGCACGTCTCACACCCCCTGGAAGCTGTTTTCCTGGCATTTTGTTGGTCTATGAGTGGATACATTGTGAAGCTCACAAACAACTGGTCAGACATTTTTATTCTGGCTTCCGGAAAGTTCTCTCCTTGAGCCCTGCAGGGTGTGAACCGTGAACTTTGACTGAAGGGACCTGACAGAAGTTGGCAGATCTTGAAACCTGTCTCCTGCATGTGTAGAAAGCCCTGCCTCCTGTCCACATTGAACCTGGTTTTGTCCATCACTGAAATCTGCAGAGCGGCTGCGATCACGGCACCTTTGTGAGGACAGATGGGATCCCCGGAGGGCCCTGAGGTCAGAGTGAGGTGAGCGCCCCAAAGGTCTTCAAGGACACTGCCAAGCAGTGCAGTGGGACAGAGCCTCCCGCCTCTGCCCTCTGCCACACGAAAAGTGATCCCCCACATTGCTGGGCTTTATTCAGCTCTAAAACACTCCACTGCCAAACTCACCCCGTCAGCGTATCGAGGAGCCTATTATTTCATTTCCTCATGGTACTCATCAGAGTTATAACAGAAAAGAGAGCTGCAAAAAGAAATCACGCTTCTTGCAGGAAGCTGGGACGTCAACAGGAGCAAGGGGGCCCCAGAGTTTAGCTCTGTGGACCTTGGTTTCCTCTCTGCCCAGTGAGCAGTGAACAGTTGGATCTTCAAGCTTCCATCTGAGGAGCACTTTTAATGATTCTTTTTGTACAGGAAAGACAGAGAAGCCCTGACTCACATGCACGTCACAGTGAACTATGGAAAGCCTCAATGCTGATGTACCCCGGAATTCAGTGAATTCTGGAAGAATGAGAACGGTATTAATGACATTTCCTAAAGATTTAAACGAGGGTACTGTCTTCTCCCCTGAAACATCATGGACCTTCCACTGCACAGCAAGAATTTTTAAAACTAGTGATATTTATTGTGAGGTCATTCTCACTAGAGTTGAAGCCGCATCCACTTTGATTTGACCTTGAAAGGAAATAATACGTCTGCATTGCTTGCTTTAACTCTGCTTGGCTTCCCTGCAAGACTGCATCCTTATCCCTGGTTTCCTCAGCTCACAAAACACAGAACACTCGAGTTCTCGGTTCACTCCTGCAGTCACATGTGCCGGCACCCGTGAGCTCCTAACTCTAAGCAGTCACAGCTACGCACACGTGTGAGTTTCGAACTCACTTCTGAGCAAGCCACACCCACTTGCATATATGGTCTGCAGCCCACTGCCCTTACACCAGAAGCCAAACTTCCCATTAAAAATGACTCTCCAGGTCCTTCCCCTGGCTTACAATTGGGGGAGCATATATCCACCCTTCCAAGTGGGACCTGAGAGAAGACCCGGGGAACTGCTAGCAAGTGTGCAAGGAGATCGGGTCCTCTGGGGAACCAGGTCATTCTCATCCTGTCTTTCCTTTGCCCACTCTGCTATGATTCTTCACCGCTCTCCTCAGCACCCACGGCCACTCCTTTCTCCTCCACAGGAAAGGCTGCCCGGGAGGGGTCACCCCATGGCCAGTGTCTCTGATCATCTCTTCCAAGGTCCCCCAGATCAGGGCCTCCTTCACAGAGGCGTGGTCCGGCAGGAAGGAGAGGAGGGGATGGGAGAAATCCCTCCGTGGGTGTCCCCCTGGGCAGCCCCAGTGGTCAGCAGGCTCCTCCCGGCTGGGAAGGCCCCAGAGCTGGAAGAATCATCTCAGGCTCCTCTCCTTCACCCAATAGACACTGCTGCTGCGTCTCTCCAAGCATCTTCTAGTTTCCTGGGCTCACTGCTTTCTGTGCAGTACACACACGCATCTCTCTGGGGACATCCCGACCACACGTCCAACCTTTCGGCTAGTCTGTGTCACTGCATGAAGAGGAGCTGTCCTGGGTCCATATGAAATACATCATGTAACTAATGTCTGCAAGCAACAGAACTACCTGAACCATTAAACTGCTGCATGAAATCTCACAACAAGCCCAAGTTCAATAATTAAAGGGGAAAACCTCCTTGCCTGCCTCACAACAGGGAACACTCGTCTTCGCAGGCACACACTTGTACACGTGGTCTGAAACACGGAGGGATTATTGCCAATTCCGGTGTTGTACTCACTAGCTGCACACACAGGCAGCCTCTGGTACTCATGGGTTTGCTGGACTGTGTGTGGGAGGTGGAGTCAGCGCCAGACCCAGCCTCCCCCACACAGCGCTAGCTTGTCACCCACGCAGTGTGCGCTGAAAATCACAGAACAGCGTTAGAAGTTTACCATCTCTGGGGGCCGCAGGGCTGCTATCCGGGACATGTGTGGCCAAAGGCTGCAAACTGGAAATGCCTCAGATAGACATTAACCTATTCTCTTGATTTATTCTAATTGCAAAAGTCCCATGTTCTGCAACTTGCTGATGCCCAGCGAGATGCCCTGGCCCACAGCATTTCTCACCCCATGGCATAAACACTTGGTTTTTATTTGGCTGCTGTGGAAGCAGATATATCATATTTACTGTTAATTCAATTCAATCTCTGATTCATCCCCAGACAAGCCCAATTGCTTAGCATTCCTTCTCAGAGATTTCTGTACCTAACCTCTGGGACTATGCTGCATTCTCAAACTCTTGTCTTTTTGGTGGACAAAGAAATGCAAGGGTTGGCAAGTTGTTAATAAGTTGTCAATTTTTTAAATTTTATGCCTGTTCATGTTAACATTTCTAGTTTTGAAGTCAGATAATGCTATTGCCCTCACTGAGGCTCTATTTATTAGCATTGATTAGTTTTTTCTAACCACTCCCAAAAGAAAATGTTCTTTTCTCACTATTTCTTTAATGCAGGAGGAGTCTGAGGCTAACATGGAACTTTGCTAACGTGCTCAGATTCACAGACCTGAAGAGTGGGGGAGCTGGCATCCAAAGAGGTGTGAAGAGGACCCTGAAATCAGGAGGCTCTTAGTGAGAATTCGAATAAGAGATTGACTAGAGTATGGGAATCTGCAGTTTGCATTAGTATAATGCTATCCTCAGGGACAGGTGAGCCCTGCAATATAAGCGGCCCGTGGGGACTTTGTTAGAGTGATGCTAGCCCAGAATTCCTTTGGGCTCCTGAGAAAAGCCCACAGCTCCCTGGATTTTTACCTATTTCTGTTTATTAAAGCTGGTGTTTCCCCACAAATAAGAGCTGAGATGTTAGAACTTGGGAAAGCAAACAAAATCCAAAGGCATCTGGTGAAAACTCCGCTGATGTAAATGAGAACTTTTCTGGTTTGAGGCTGGCACTTGCCCGGTTCAGGAAAAGTCTGTGCACCTGAGGCAGATGCTCAGTGGAACCCCGAGATGGAGAGGCAATCGCTCCTGACACAGGCCATCCTACCACCGCATCTCAAAGACTGCAAGGGGCGTGCACCTAGTAAGTTTACTCTGTTACAAATTTGCCCTTTAGTATTGTTTTACTTAGTTCACTTGAAATCCATATTCAAAATTATTTCCTGTCTGATTTTTTAAAAATCAAATCAAACCTTCGCTTACCACTTTCTTTGTTTCTGGGTAGGCATCTATGTTTATTGAATTTAAATTGAACTGAAGATAATTCATTTCATAGCAAAAGAAGGAGAATTATGGTGATGTTTTTTGGCCTATGATTTAAGATGCAATAACATAATTACAAGCATGCATGCAAAACTTATGGAGAAATAACATGGTTTCCCTGTCTCTCACTGTGACAAGAAACATATAGTCAATTTAATGCATTTAAAATAAGGGGTTTGGAAGAGGGCAGGGAGTTGTTTACTTCTAGGAAAGCACACAGATCATGAGAGGAAGCACAAACATGTGACTTGGACAGAAACACTGGGAAGAGCTTCCCTCTGCCTGGACCCCGCAGGTGCAGCTCTAGCCTCGCAGCTGGGCAGAGGCACGGGGTGCTCACACAGTTGCTGAGGGAGAGCATTAGTGGGGAGCTGGGAGACTTGGAGCTCAGGGCTGAGGGAGGGATGTGCCCTGAGGCCAGATGGTGTGCCGTGGAGGAGGAAGCACCAGAGACCAGAAGGAAGACCACGAACCTTCTTCCAGACCCAGGAAGACATTCTACAATGAAGATGTCCATGTCTCCACATCAGACTGCTTTCCAAGGGTGTGGGCACGTGGAGGTAAGAGCTGGAGCCTTTGAATGCAAATGAAGCCAACAGGCAGCTCCTGCATGGAGGAGGCTGCATGGCTGCATGGTCAGACAGCCAAGCTCGCATAGTGCTGCATGGTCAGACAGCCAAGCTCGCATAGTGTTAGAGGCGGGAGCACCGGAGGGGGTGCCAGGGCCTTACCTTGTCCGGGTCGGAGGTGGTGATCACCCACACACAGTGCGCGTTGTCCTCATACTGAACGGGGTAGTTGGGGGAGGTGATGACGCCGCTGGGCCCCCGCAGATTGGACCCGCATGTCCTCGCTGTAACAGATGGAGGCAGTATTACTTTCTGCAGCATCGCACCAGTGGGGAAAAGCATCATAGTCTAAGGAGCTTCAAGTTAGCTTTCAACACTCATGATGGACAATGGTTCATGGACTTGAGTTGGCGAGTGTATTTTGCTTAAACTTCAGGACCCTTGTTTGGAAGCCTTGATGTGCATTAGAGATGCTTTAATAGATGATGTTTGGAGCAGTGTTAGTGCTCACAGGATGAGCTCAGGGATGGCACCACGGGTAATGTCAGAACCAAATCAGTGCACTTCAAATCCTATTGTAACTAAAAATACATGCAAAAAGAAAAGCCCTTCATGTGCGCCTAGGGATGCCCCATGTACCTTGAGTCACACATGGATGTAATAAGACACCATGCACAACACAGTTCATGAGATTTGGGGTGGGGTTATCTCAGCCACCCCGTGCACCACAGGAACTTGAACAGCCGCTCCTACACCACAGCTCCACCTTTCAAGTGTAAAAGAGCCTGGTGAAGGGGGCGGTCTCTTGCAAACTTCAGACTCTACAAATCCACACCAGTCTCTTTACAGTGCCATGCAAATAAAACCTAACATATTACCAGAAGTTTAAGAAAGAAAATAGAAATTGTGGCTGGAAAAGCAAAAGGAGACTGTGATCTTCTGTTTCTCCAAGTTGCAATGAAAGACCAAGTGAAGCACAGAATGATAGAAATTACGCCATTCAGGGTAATTCAAATTGACCTATTTTCCTAAAAGTTTTTTTTCAAATCATTAAGGAAACTTTGCAAATCGAATGTCAGCCTGGAGTCCAGTCTGAATAATAATGATTTAAACTAAGTTTAAAAATGAAAAACAAAGAAATTTTTCTAGAAGGAGTATGGGGGAGCTATGCATCATCTTCCTAGACACCAACGTCATATAAACCAGTTTGGCTGACGAAGGGTGACCCTAGCCATGTCCTGTCCCATGGTCAAGCATCTGCTTCAGATCAGTGTTACTTCTGGAGACAACTATTCCACTGGTGGACCACGACGCCTTCCTGAATGAGGAGCTCCCTGTGGGGAGTCAAGAGCTATCATTCAATAGAGCTGTTCCTAATTTTTTTGGGTATATGCATTTATCTCTTCCATGTGCACTGATGTAAGACAATAACACCATGATAGCACACATCTGCACCCTACTGTGAGTTCTTTATTGTGGTTACTAGTGATTACTAATCTGCAGTTCTGCCTATCTAACTGCAGTTAGATTACTAATCTGCAGTTCTGCCTTTCCTATAAGGCCCTGAATTTCTCAGTATTCCCTTTTCCCCACCTGTACACCCTCCACAACAGACAGGATCTTTATTATCCTGGAGATGTAAAACTGACCAAGGTCACCATAGGCATCTTCCCAGTTGCTTAGTATTTACTAGATAAACATACAGCTAGAAGTTAGCCTTCTACACATTAATAAATATGTTTTAAAGTACCGCTATTTGCCCTCCAAATGAACCACATGTTTAAATGAAGGTGGAGAAAAGATTGTTTTTCGTCTGAAGGCTGCCACAGAGCTGGGTTCTGACATGGGCCCTCTCTACACGCAGCTCCGTAAGGCTAACTGGTCTACCTTAGGAATGGTCAGGAACTTTAAGTATGAAATCCGCCTGAAGCACACTGAGGCCAGCAATATTAGGACATCTTGGACTAAGACATCACGAACACAACTTGCATTACAGTGACTTTCTGTTACATTTTAACAGCTTATTGTGTTTCATAACTAATATCTGTTCAAAACATAATATAGTGTTACTTAAGAAACAGTTTTACTTTAGTGAGTCAGTTTTTAAAATTTTATTTTAAAAATAATGAAAAAGCAATAAAATGACACAGCATTTCAAAACAAGGGGCTAGGGATATAGCTCAGTGGTGCAGTGCCAGCCTGGTAAGTGCAGGATCTTGAGTTCGATTCTTGGTACCCACCAAAAAAAAAAAAAAAAAAAATCAAAACAAGATGACAGGAAATTAACACTGGTTATTATATTGCATACTGTTATCTTTGATGTAGCTGAAGATAACCAGATAGAGGTATGTAAGATTTTTTTTTTTTTTTTTTTTGATTTTTCTCTGGTACCGGGAACCGAACTCACCACCTTGCGCTTGCCAGGCAGGCGCTTTTGCCGCTGAGCTAAATCCCCAGCCCCTAGGTATGTAAGATTGATCAAACAATATAAGCATGAACTGTTCCTTTCAATGAGCTAATAGAAATTAGTAGTACAATTATCTTAGCTATCGTGTATATATATATTATATATGTATATTATATATACACATATATAATATATACATAACATCCTTATATATAATCCATATATATATAAAATCCTTCCTTCTTTTCTTTTTTACCCCATCCCAGTTGTTCTTTCCTTTTGAGCAGTTTCTTTCCCTCTTACAATATCCATTGTACCTTTTGAATCTTATTTACACTTTCAGGTTCTTGTACTATGGAGATGATACAGTGTTTACACATGTGGGTCTGACTTATGTCAGTTATGAGTAGGGTCTCTAGTTGCATCCATTTACCTATAAAACCCCGAGTTTATCTTTCTTTATAGCTGAGAAGTACTCCATTGTATAAAAATACCAACCACACTACTACTCGAAATGCTTCAAAATCTGAGAAATCACTCTGAAGGTTGTGGGGGGATTGGCAGAAGTATCCCAGATGCCCAGCCCACTGCCACCTGTGCCCACCTCATCGGCCCAGCTGCCTCCTTGGGCTGGTTCCCCACACCAAGGCCCTGGTCCTCCCTGTCCCAGCCACCAGCTCTGAAGCTGGCTTGACTTGACTTATTACGATAGGTCCTGGCTTTTCATGGAATTTATCTTACATACAGTGTGGGGAATAATGATTTGTGCCGACTGTAGTATTTATTGAGCTGTGAATTATAAAATAGTCCAGGAAAGCAGACCGTGCAGTGTCCAAGCACACATAGTACAGGCTTTCACACAGGGCAAGTCCTTCCAAACCACCTCCACAGCCAAAATTTGTCAGCTACATCCTCAGAATGTTTTGCATGCATTGCAATAATGACTTATTTTTATTCTTTTTTAAGATGGAGTTTTAGCAAGCTATGAACTATCTGAAAAGAAACCGGTGCACATATTCAGGGAAATGGTTTTGGTGTGTTTTGCTCATTTTTAACTTGACATTGGGAATCATTGCTGACATTGATAGTTTCCTCAGCAAATATCCGCTGTGCTTTTTGAGTAGGTCTAGCAACCTTAAATCACAGGACCCTCCTGTACCTACTTCGTTCTAATCCTCCTCTTAGGAAGTTGCTGAATACTTAGGCTGGAGACTCAGCCCTCACCAGCTACATCATCTCCACTCTAAGCATCTGCTTCTGAGCCGCACGAGGAGCCACACTCCCTGCACGCGGACTTGGCCGGTTTGACTCGCCATGCTGAGTGGCTTGTGAGGTCCTCAGGCAGGAGCTCAACTAGAGAAGCCCTCTCTGATGGGAAGGGGACAGTTAGTGTCCTTGGAAGAAGGAAGCTTCTTCCCTTACAGTGGCTTCTGCTCTAAAGAGGCATCTAGATGTTCACAAAGCTTTCCATTAAGTAATCACAGTGCACTGGTGCCAAGAAAGTCTGCCCCAGCTCCTCATGCCTCCCATCCCCGAAAAGCAAATGCATGCTTTGTCCACATTTACATCGAATGTCACTCTCTAGTGCCACCGCAGCCCTGGCCCCTGTCAAGATCTTGTTTGAAATACGCTGTCTCATATATTGAGAGTAATGTCCAATTACATGCTTAATAAATGTCCCTGGATAATAACCATGACCTAATGCATCATTGATGTTCCTCCTTGGACAGAGTTCTAAGCTTGTAAACTTGACTTCACTTATATCTATACATTTTCAACTAAAACTAGAACTCATAAAAGGATAAATTGAAAATATGATACATTAAAAGGGAAAGTGGACAGGGAAAAGATCATAAATCAGGTTCCAATGCCAACATCAGTCATTTGTCCACTTAATTGATGAATACGTGTTAAATACAAAATACATTTCCTTCAAATGATTTACCTCACTTAATCTGAACAAATTATTCATTTATTTAAGTTCAGTTCCAGGAAATCATTTTTGTTCTTTAGGAACCATTCAATTAATCAAACTTATTAAGGGCAGGAATATCTTAATCAAGTAAATTTAAATTAATAGGAAAACAGGACACACATTTGAAGCTTTATTTCAAACAAATTAATAGTATATTTCTTGTTTAGTGTATTTCTTGTATGGAATAGTGTATTTGTTGTATGAATAGTATATTTTTTGTGAGTAGTATATTTCTTGTATGAAAATGTATTATTGCAAAGAACAGTAAAATGTAGTATGGAGGAAAATATTTACTCCTCAGTGAACTTAAAGATAAATGGAATAAAGCACAAGAATCTGGAACAGGACACACATTTGAAGCTTGTAATCAATATTGAAATTAATATTGAAATAATCAATATTTCTCCAAAATTAATAGCATTCAAAAATTAATACTTGTGTGTATGTGTGTGTCTTGCAGTATTGGGAACTGAATCCAAAAACTTCCGATCTAAAGTTTTGTTTTTTCTTTTGATAGAGAATATATCTCACTCACTGAGTGCTCAGGCTGGTCTTAAACTTGAGATCCCTCTACTGCCTCACCCTACATTAGTGATGGGATTACAGGCATGCACCACTATGACTGGCTTCTGCGTATATTTCTTTAAACCTCTGAAATAGTAGCTACCTAGTCAAATAATCAGTATATAAGCCATAATTTTAGAATTATTTGACACTGGACCTGTAATCTAGTGGAATGAACCATCTTTCAGATGCAAATAATCTTTTTGTTACTATTTTAAAGATCATTTCAGCATGAAAACTGGAGTAGAAATGAAAAAGCTTTAATAGTTTTTAGTACATGACAAGTTAATAAGTTAAGGGTAATTCTTCACCAACCTAACCTAGAATTCTAAAGCAAT